TTTTTTTTTTTTTAAGCTTACTTTGTTACTTTATAAGTGGAACATAACATGTAATATAAAAAGAATGCATTCATGTTGCATTTGTATATTTATTGTATATTTATGTATGTATATACATTAGCACACATTTATACATTTATGTTACACAAATGGCAAAGTGAAATCTCTTTTTACAAGTTACAAATTGATCTATGGTTGATCTATGGATCTTTTACAAGTTAGAAATTGATCTTTTATTTTTCTTGTGAATTTTATGTTACGCAAAAAGCAAAGTAAAATCTTTTTTACAAGTTAGAAATTAATCTATGGATTGATCTATAGATCTATGGATCTTTTACAAGTTGGAAATTGATCTTTTATTTTTCTCGTGAATTTGACTTTAAATTCTCATTTTCTTTAGCTTACTTTATTATTTTATTCGAATAATGTAGGCTGTAATATATACAATAACAGTACTTATAGACGTATTTTACAGATTTCTCATGTTTGTTTTCTTTTCTGTAATTTATATTGTTACTTTTCTGAAAGAATATAGCATACAATATACAGAGAAAAAGCACCACAGATTTTCTTTACGGATTTCTCTCTTAAAAGAAGGTTCCTTTTATTTTTTTTTTTTTTAAAGCTTACTTTGTTACAATATGACATGTAACATAAAGACAATATAACATGTAACATAAACAGAATACATTCATGTTGTATTTGCATATTTATGTATGTATATACATTAGCACACATTTATACATTTATGTTACGCAAATGGCAAAGTAAAATCTTTTTTACAAGTTAGAAATTGATCTGCATAAGAGTGCGCTTATTTTCGCGCTAGCACCTTATGAAGGTTTCTGTTTCATATTGTTCTTGTAATAGTAATTGTCTTTTTGAACAGTAATCAAATCTGTATAAGGGTCAGGCACCTTCATGAAGTAGCGCCGCTATGAAAAAGTCTCTATTACGTTTACGCAAAAAAAAAGAAGATGAAAAATACATTAACGTGTACATCATTTAACGTAACATATTCTACATGGCGCCTGCCAAAGAGATAAGGTAATCGGAATTGTTACAAGTATGCGGATATAGATAATTTAAAACTCATTGTGTAATTACTCCATTTATCATTTTATCAAATTCGTAATCAAAAAATTACAAAATATTTTCCAGAAGTGAATAATCCTTATAGGGCGCAGTTTGAAATTTCTAACAAAGGTTAAACGAATAATTGTAGTTTGAGTGTTTTTATACGGAAATTGCATTACTTTGTAATGAATATTCTCAGTATGCTAATCAGGTAATACTGAAATGCAGACGAAACACGGGAAAAAAAGTGTAAAATAGTGTTTGGAAACTTTAAATTTTATTGCTGTACTTTGCTGTATGGAGATATAATGTTCATTGTAGTAATACTAATAATTCATTATGATTCAGGAAATTCACGTATTGCAGTAATTTTTAAATAATTTGAAAATTTTTCTAGAACTGACTATAAAAGGTATTTCTTCCGCCTTCTCAACGTGCCTTCGTGGTGTGGTTGTCTACATACGCTGGGCGCGTATTCCAGAGGTTCGCGGTTCGATCCCCGGCGAGGGTGTTGCTTATTTTTCACCTTGCCTGCTTCAAAAAATACCTAATGTCTGTACAACATAATTTGAAACAAGTTCATAGTTTTCTTGGACTCACCGGATATTTCAGAAAGTTTATTTCAAAATATTCCATTATTGCTAAACCTCTGAGTGATCTCTTGAAAAAGGATAGAAAGTTTAAATTTGACACAAAAGAAAGAAATTCTTTCAATCTATTAAAGTCATTATTAGCTAGAAAGCCTGTCTTAGGAATCGATAATATCAATTATGAGACCGAACTGCATACTGGCGCTAGCTTAGAGGGATATGGATCAATTTTAACACAGAAATACTCTAGTTACGAACTTGAAACTTTTGCAATTATACACTGGTGAAATAAATTAAGAGAATTTGCATATTTTATCGAATTGCATGAAAGGAACAGAACTGAAGGAAAAATTACTGCTTCTAGATAAAAATGTAAATCTTGTACGCCAAATACGTAAGCGTACACGTGTGTGTAGGAGGAGCCAGCAGAAAAACAGGCTTTATAAGCGCGTGGAGACGAATTGTGTTCGCTGGCACACCTCGGCGAATTTCCTGGTGTTATCTTGCAACAATCGGTTAAATTCATATCGGAACAGTAAAAATGAGTAACCACCAACGTCTAGATGATGGAATGAGGTGGCGACTAGAGGCAAAGGCAGGTCAATCGCAAGTCCAGATATGCAGAGATTTTAATTTAACGCCCAACGTCATGTGTAACCTATGAAAACAGTTCCAGGATACTGGATCCATCGAGAGAAAGCCTGGACAAGGTCGTGCAAGAGCCACGACGGCCAGAGAAGATAGCTGTTTGTCCGTTTGGCAAGGCGTAACAGAGGGGGCTACAGCTTCTAAGCTCTGTCGAGACCTGTATGCAGCCACAGGAGACCTTGTAATAAGGGTAACTGTTTCCAAAAGACTGAATGAAAGAGGGTTGTTTGCCAGAAGACCGGCTGTTTGCGTCCCGCTCACGTCTACGGACAGGAGAGTGCGATTAGCATGGTGCAGGCAGCATAGCGATTGAAGTACGGGGCAATGGGCGATCGTTCTGTTCACCGACGAGTCTCGCTTTAGCCTAAATACCGATTCTCGCCGTACTTTCATATGGAGAGAGCCAGGGACCCTCTACCTACCCTCCAATGTCCGCGAAATCAACAATTATGGCGGTGTAATGGTCTGGGCAGGCATCATGTTGGATGGCCGCACACTTCTCCACGTCTTTGACATATGCTCTGTGACTGGTGTGAGGTATAGGGATGAGGTCTTGGAGCCTTATGTTCGCCTTTTCCGGGTTGAAGTGGGCCCCGAGTTCATCCTACAAAACGATAACGCGAGGCCACATAGAGCTCTTCTGGTCAAAGAATTTCTCGAGAGTGAGGATATTCGCCGGATGGATTGGCCAGCCAGGTCTCCAGACCTCAACTCTATACAGAACATGTCTGGGAACACTTTGGGGAGGGAAAATGCAACTTGCAACCCCCTTCCAAGAACCATCCAGGAACTGAAAACAGCGTTGCTGAATCAGTGGGACCAATTGCCACAGGCACTGATAAACTGCCTTATTTCCAGTATGACATCAAGCTGCGAGACCTGTATGTAAGAAGAGACCATGCCCCTATTAACCCATTTCTTCTGTGTCTTCTACAACTGCTGTTTCAGACTTTCAGACTCCCATGAGTGTTACACACGAACATATGTGTCTATTAACTGTTAAATGTTTGTTTTGTTTGTATTATATCAACCTATGTTCACATAGGTTGATATAATATATAACCATACTTATTACCTTCAAAATACTTATTAGGGCTTCATCGTACTTCATTTAACCTATTTTAACGTTGAAATTGCTGGAATAGCAATTTTCTATATCTTCATATAAAAAATTACTTTCAAAATGCTTATGGACTTTTGAGTTCACACATTCCCAAACTAAGAACAATAGGGAAAATACTATCAGGAGATCTGATCGAATCGAAATTAATTTATGCTTGCAGATGGATAAAAATAATCAATGTTTCAGATGATGGAATAAACTGATAGGTTGAAAAGAAATTAATTTTGCTTTAAAATGAATTCATCTTATTTTCTCTAAGCGATTTTTAGAAAAATAGTTTGTTAATTTCATAAAATATTTATGTTGAAAAGTTCACTTGAGGACCTATTCATTAAAATTAGTCAAAGCAACAATAAATTGAATGTTTGATGAATATTTTAAACTAAAATCTGACTTCACTAAAAACTACGCCTAACACAAGTTGTTACGTTTCCTAATTTTGTTTTACTTTGGCGCGTTTCTCTTTGGTCTTTATTCATTAACCCCAAAATTCTGAAATATTTCAATCACAATTGCAACTTTTTTTTTTATAATATTTCATTTAAACGCATTGTAGTGTATTAGCTAGACGGAGTACAACTGGTGCGGGATGAAATTTTAATGTGATTCAATATTCAGTACAGAACAGAAAAATGGATTTGATCTGTAGAAATTACTACCGCAAAAATGGTACTCATTTCAGAGGATATTGTATATATATTCTGCATCGAGTACTACATGTGCGAAGCAACTTTTCCCACCACGAATATCATTAAACTGCTATCTCTTAAAGACTAACCATTGTCCCATTATTAATGTCAATTTTTTATTACATTATTGGATAAAGAAGTAAATCACCAGGAAAGAAAACTTAACAAATCCCACTGTTTACTTAACTGATGTCAGAAATTCGTTTGAAGTTATTTTTTTTTTTCAATATATGTTTTATTTATTGATATCTGAACAATCTGTTTGTTTAAGACTCACGCCCACTTGGGGTAATATGTGGAATTTTTCACATGGCATGCTATCATCAAAATGTGCATTTCTGTAGTACCATATACACAACACGTGATTGACTGATAATGGTTTAATGCATCAGTATAATGTTGAATGTGACATGCAAACCGCTAATGAGTCATGTCGAACGTGCAACAACGTACAAATTTATTTCCATGACCGAACTTTTACAATTGTCTCAATAGGTGTATGGAGATGCCGCAGGAATTATGCTATTATTTTCAGGCGAACCAACTATTCTCTGCGGACAGGGAATCCGTTGAAGATGGATATGCGTGCAGGACATGCTGTGCCGATCAAGATGAAACGAAGAACAATCGCTCATCATTGGGGACGTGGAGAACTAAGAAGATACCCACGGAAAAAACTGTATTGATATTAACTGTGTATATAACAAAACGCATTTGAATTTTTAACATTAACTGCACTTTATTCAACAGTAAACGAGGACATCTAAGTAGAAGACTGTAAATCCTTCTGGTGCCAGTGTTTATTTATTTTGTCTGTCATCCGGTACCCACGATTTTCTTGGTTATGCAATGATACAAGAAGAACGATACACATTCATTAGAAAAAATAATTTTATTTAAGTATGAACAATGGCTGAAAAATTATAGAACATTAGGCTGATGTTAGTTGCACATGACAAAAATATTGTTGAAAAGAAAAGGAATAGAGACAAAGGAATAGAGAATAAGACAGAAGTTTTATCAATACATGTACAAAATTTCTACAACAAGTTTTAAAAAATATAATTTTCTTTAGTTATAAGAAACATCTTCAAAAATAGAACACTCGCGTAAACTTTACGATGATACGACAAAAATATGAATATTTTGAAAATACGCTAGATGAAACTACATAAGTGAAAAGATTTTTTTATTTACAGGCAGTTGAACATCTCAAATAACTTAAGGATAGCAATGAAAACATAGATGACTTCAATTAAGCAACAACAGAAGGGAATTTAAAATTTCTTAAGTTCCTTTCCTTTCTGAATGTTCAAAGCTATTATTAAATTACTTTTCAATGATTAGGTCTATAAAACTAGGCATTTTAATATTTAATTAAGCTACCAGTTTATAGATTAATGAAACTGAGAATTTATAGTTTAAAATGAGTATTGAAATATTTCACAGATCCAGCATTTTTAAGTAAACAGCACTGTGAAAGATTTATGTACTTTTCAGAAGATATGTAAAGAAATTTTAAAATGATTCAGTAATTATTATCTACAGAGTTAATGAAAAGTTAAGGATTAATTTAAAAAAAAAAACTAGTGAACAAGTTACTTGATGGTTTGTACTTTAATGGCAGTTTATTTTTGATTTAAGAATATTGAATGAAAGGATATTGAATGAAAATAACTAATGAAGAGTTGCATTTTGAAAAGTATCTGAATAACGTCGAAATAATAACCTTCTCCTCTCTAAAATGCTGTTCCAGTTTAACAATGAAATAACCACCAGCATTTACTTATTTGTCATTTAACTTCTTTTGACTTTATATAAAAACAAAATGCCTTTTAAAAAATCAAACGATTGATTTAAAAATGCTTTTCTTCTTTTTTTATTATAAAAAGAATATCAGTATTAAAAAATATAGTTGCCTCTACAATCATAAAAATTCTATTATGTTAAAACATTTCTTTAAAATTGAAATTCTCAGTAACAAACTTTCATATCCACACTAGATATGAAAAGGTGTTTATTAAAATGGCTTTTTTGGTTAAAGAAACTTTCTTTTTTATAGCGAAAATACAAAATTAGGTAAATTTAAATAAAAGAACATTAAAAATATATGAAGTCTTTTACATTCAAAAAGAAACTTTTGAAGTATTTATTTCATATTTTTTATCAATAATACTGGTTTAATTTGTGTAAGGCACTAGTTATATTTTGGAATAAATTTTAAATTGATTATATATTAAGTGTATTACGGTTTATTTACAAAGAATATCTAATAAAATAATTTTGGGAACTGGTTTTAAGATTAACCACAGCACGTTCCATTAAGAACTCCCTATGCATTCTAAGTTCATTCTTATTAATGAGCAAACATGTTTTCGTGATGGAAGTACAGAGTGTTTTGCTCAAGACGGCAGAATATTTAACTGAGCCAGTCCTACAATCCCTCTCTGGTGGATAATGTTATCACTCAACATTAGGCATGTCGAAGCTCTCGGACATCTTGGATGAAAGACTTGTCAATGATTTAATTTACTGCAAGAAATTCTAATAATTTATTTATTGTTAATAACTTTCAGGTTCTGTTTTAAAACCCTGAGTAACGATGGATGGCATTTTAACAAAGGCATCAGTCGGTGAAGGAATTGGTGTCTCCGGATGGCCATTTCCTATGTGCTCTGTGATATGACCGTTGGTTAAATGATCAGCGGGACCTTGAAGGACAGCATGTTGAATAGATGTGGAGCCATTTCCAGCCTCACTTAAAGCAGTTGAAGTAGAAGCTGTAGATGTTTCAGACGAAGCGCCTAGAAAGAGACAGGATCGTTCTAAAGAATCGAAGCAAAAGCGTATCTTTAGCGAATTCTCTATTACATAATACAATGTACAGTGGCAGTAAAGAGGTTTAAAAAAGAAGTTGCGGACACGCATTTTGGATATTTTTTCAGTAAAAGCTGTATTTGTTAAAAATAATTAGCACACAGAAACATTTTGACTGACTGTACGTATTTCCAGACTATTGAATTTTGTAAGAAAAATACTTTTCATAAAGAAATAATATGGATAATACAGTTCTCATGAAAAAAGAATGGAGTAGCTTTGTCTGGGCAGAAAGCAAGATGATCAAAGATACAATACAGTATACTAGCCATTATTCTGGTTAAGGTTAATGAACAAAAAAGGTACTCGTCGTTTTCCTCATCAGACATATGGTGTTATTAACGTCGCACGGTATTTTCTTCCTATTTCTGCGTGCCTTCGTGGTGTAACTAGAAAGCACAGGAAGGTCCAGAGTTCGAATGATAGAGTTGATAGATAGTTGATTTTCTCTGCTTCCTGCTTCAAAAATATCTAATGATACTGCAACCTTATGGAACAGGAGTAGAAAAATTTAGCAAATTATTTCTAAGTACAAATGATACAAGTAAAAAATGCATTTAAAAGGCATGAAATAATTCCTTTTTTTAAGCAAATATCATATTAAAGTTGGTTTTTAAAAGTATCTCTTGTTTCAATATAGCTAGACTATGTAGATTATCTGCTGCTTGAAACTTAAAGCTATTGAAATTAATCATTTGGGCAGTAACTTCTTTAAATTTGACGAGAAAAGATCTTGTGCTCTAATACTGCACCCATCTAATTTTCAAGTATAGTAACGCACGTCTAATAGCAGAAACTTTATTTTTAAACTAGTATATTCTCGTGTAAAATGATAATCTCAGACACATTTAAGGTGAGCTTAAATAATGCATTTTAATTAAATTATTAAGAAAAAATAGTTTTGCTTCCTGCTGTACAAAAAAGGCGACACAATCTACTTAAACATAGTACTGACACCAATGGACAAAATTTATTGGTTTAGAGATTTATTATTTAAAGCACTAGAAATTCATAACCTGCATAATATATTTAACTTCATTTTGATAAAAAAATGAAATACGCTAATTGTGCCCTGAACCATCCAATTAATAAACATGTTCAAAAGTGTATGTAATGACAAGACAGATGAAAGAAATGAACACATGTCATTCATATTTCAACTCTCGTATATAGTGTTATGAGCTGGGATCTAAATACATGTACATTTACAGAAGCCCAGCAGCGGCCGAAAGGTAAAATCGGTGTTTTCCCCATCTGTAACGTGGGCACGTGCCAGTTTCCCTTTAGTGCTCCATGAAGACATCCCTTCCCTTAGGCAGATAGCTCTCGTGAGCTTCGCCGTAATCAAATAAACCATCATTTATAGACACAATGTTATATCATCTGTCATCCTGAACGTCACATCACTACAAGTACATCATCTCTAATGTCTCTTCAGATTATCATTAAAGTAATGGAATTGAAGTAAATTACTCTGTGTGAGAAATTAACCCATTACTTATTCGTCCAAGAAAGATTTCTTGGTTAGAGAACGTATAATATGGAAGACTTCCAATCACACTTAATATCTAAAAGACTAGAATAACGGACTGGGAAGAGCATAAACTTATATGCCCAACCACGAGGAGACTTATGTATACTAGACGAGAGTCAATTATATTCTTCTAGATCATTAGGGCTTTTGATAAGGGTATAAAGGCGTTAAGAATGGACTGGGTAAACAAGTGCTAAATAATAATAATAATAAACACCATAAACCAGCATTTCGGAAATTTTTTACCGTGTGAGAATCCTTACTATAAGTTGCGTTACACTCATAGGATTTTAGTACGATTAGTTAAACACTAGATGTTATATTCGGAAAACAATTGTTACTCCTGTTTTCGGCGGAGAATATTATTTTCCGGGCGGGTATATTTTGTCCAATTTAGACACTTAACTGTCGGAGTGGATCCTGTTCGCCACAATTATAATTAGTTCTAGTGTAGTTCATCGCAATCTTCAGTTTACTTCCTCTAATTTATTTCTTACCTTTTATTTATATTACCTATATAGACTAAAACATTATTTCTACTCAGTGCTTGTAGATCTGGAATAAATGTGAATTATTCTCCGTTCCATTTCGAAAACGAAAAGGGCTCTTTCACTAATACTATTTACAGGGATAAATGCAAAGACGCCTAGTATACCTTTTTTCGAAATCAGTCTCTAGCTGAATTATGCATTGAATATATATTACAGTTATATTATTACAAAGGAAGTTGAATTATATTGGAATGAAGAATTATACCCTGAAAGAAAAAGCGAATTGTGAAATTTTAGCGGGCCTGGAACGAAATGTTTTCTGGAGAAGATTTAGCATTTCATGTTTAGTGTTTATCAACGTTAATTCTTCAAAATCCTTCCTCACCCCCTCTATATTTGCTTCGACTTAAGCATCTGAAAAAAAAAAAAAAAAAAAAAAAAAAAAAAAAAAAAAAAAAAAAACAAAAAAAAAAAAAAAAAAAAAAAAAAAAAAAAAAAAAAAAAAAAAAAAAAAAAAAAAAACGTAAAATATATGCTATTGTTAAAAATGTTAACAAATTATATATAAAGAACCTTACTTAATTAAATAATCTCATTTACTAAATTTTATTTGTTTATTATTTATAAATATAGGTATTCTTAAATTTGTTTTTCATTCAATGCATTTTCAAATTTTGCTTTAGTTGAAATCTCTTAGTATTTAAGTAAATGGCTTTTCTTTTCTCTTCTTATTTTTATATAAACAATTGAAGGATTCGACAGCTTTAAATATCCAGATACGATAAAATTTAAGATTCTTCTCAACTGTACTCTATGTAAAGAAACAAACAATGCATTTTCGAATCATATAGATTTTATAACCAAAGCTTCCGTTAAATTAGATTGTATTTCTGCTTGGCACCCTGTCACCATCCTAAATACGCAGAAATTTTAACACATTGTGCTACTTCTACACAGCAGTTATCATTTACAGATTTTCTGCATTTAAAATAAATGTTAATGAATTTTAGAAAACAAACGTCATAAATATATTTAATGCAAGCAATAAACTTTACCCTTTCATTTCAAAAACTAATAAATATAATATCATTCAGAGTTTTAAAAGTGAATTATCTCCACCTTGTTCTTCGTTAAATGTGCAATGAAAATCAGATTTAGGCAAACTCAGCGTTTCGAAAATTGAGAACTGAAAATTACATAAGCAACAAACAGAAGATTTTTTGCAGACAGAAATGAAGATTTTTGTCTCCCTCAATATATTAACAGTTGTATTCTAAAATTTTCTTTTTAAAGCATATCATTTTATAAATCTTAAATGTTGCGTAGCTCTTCAACTATTTGTGTCATTCTCCTTTTGCCACGCTGACTTGTAAATGATCTGAACAAAAGAATATAAAGAATCATTTTAAATAGCATTGTAGAGTCATTAGATTATTTTGAAGCAGCACACATGAAAAATGATCAATGCTCATGCCGGGATTCGAACTTGGACCTCTCGAATACGTGCCGAGTGCGCTACCGTTACATCACGAAAACATGCTAGAAGGATGGAGAAAATACCTTATATATACCTTATATACACTCCCCTTTTAAAGGGCGGCTGGGGATTAGGGGACCCAATCGCCAAATCCTAGTGGTGACGAGTTATCGTCCATCACCTTTTTAGTTCAGCGGCACTGTAGAGTCAATAGGTTATTTTGAAGCAGGAGACATGAAAAATGAGCAATGTCCTCGCCGAGACTCGAACCTGGACCACTCGAATATTCGGCGAGTGTGCTACCATTACACCACGAAGGCTTGGTGGAAGGAGGGAAAAAATACTTTATAGCATTATGGTGATAATTGAGAGTATATTAATCTGAAAGGCATGAATATAACATCCTAAACTGTTCCGAAAAAAAGAAGCATCTTTTGCCTTGAATTCAATTCATTGTATCGCACCTCCCGATGAAATTTTCAAAGCATTTTTATATTTTCTCTTATTCAGTTATTTAATTTAGAATTATACAAGCTATATACACAGATTACAAAAATAAACAGCAATGGTTATTCATAATTATGCTTCACCTTATACAAGCGAATGAATCTCATTCGTTTGGCCCTCGGGTTTAGGAAATAGCGACTATTCTCTGAGAATTTCTTTAACGCTTTTCAGAGACTTCTAAATTACTACTTTTTCGTAAAAAAGAGACAATTAAAATATGCCTCATATCTCTCTCCTCTGTAAAATAAACTGTTATTTTCTTTCGGGCATTTAAAAAAATACTGTCTAGAACTGAGAACAATTAAAAGTCGTGTGAAATGAATTATAAGAAGTCCAAAAAACAGAGCATCAAACACTTTAAATAAAGTAATCTGCAGATATTTTCAATTACACACCCAATCATCACATACGCCTGCGCTAAAACAGTTTGCCAGGAATTGCAAGGCTATCTGAAATGTGAAAATTTATCAAACCCAGTTACTTTCAAAATAACACCCATTGGAACGTATACACACCTGAAATCATTGGCAGAATGCCTTTCTTGGTATATTTCATATATAAATGGTTGTCAAATCCTTCTGGATAGCTTGAAGTATCTGAAAACGAAGAATCCCATACATCTATCATTATAAGAGAGAAAGCGAGCCAGAGGCTGAGAAATTTGGCAAATGAGGTGGTTGTAGAACGACGAGAATTTGTTCTTTATCACGGAAACATAAGATTCTTTGCTCAAAATGCGATACAGCACAGAATGATCAAAAGATTCTTTAACACCATTTGTACCACCATTTTAACTACGCTATCCCAGATGATGACTCTTATTATATTTATTCTACACAAAATCTATAATACTCAACAATCAAATTTAACAATTGCAAGTTTTACGAATATGATTTGCTTTTTTTCCCGCGAATTTTCTGAATAGTATGCATATTTATTTAACGTATAAGGTAATTTTAAATGGTATGTATATATTTTAAATATCCATAAAAAGAAAGATAAAATTAACCACTATAATTACGAATGGAAATTATATAGTAAGTAACTTACCACCAAGTAGCATTTCTTGCAAAAGATTATCTATTTTAGCCATTCCAAATAATTTGGCAAACTGTATTTGCTCTATCATTTGCCAGGTGATACTCTGAAGGGCAGGCAGTAAAAGGAGAATTTCTCCGAACCTTCCCCGAGAATCATATTGTCTGTCGTTGATGTAATCTTCCAGATTCGTTTGAATTTGATCTCGAAGAGCTTTAATTCTCTTTGAATCTGAAAGACCTTTGGCATCTGAAAGAGACAGAATAATTTCAATTTTGCAACAAGCAGGAATAATTTGGGATTTTTATGCTATCCGGTATGTATAGAAATATTCTGTTTTGGAAAGGATACGAAAAACAAAATTCATCATGTATGGGAAAATACATGGGAACATGAATGTGAGGATAATACACTGGTGCAAATGTTTACCAAGTACCTTTTCCTCTACCTCCAATCTTCAATAGATTTTCATATGAAGAATCATTTGCACATAAGAAGTATTTGAAAAATAAATGTCCTTCAGTTATATTCTTTCTTATACAAATCATGTTCAGCCTTTTCATCTAACCTCTACGAACTCAAAGATTAGAAATATTTCAATTTAATTTGGCTATGAAATACCATGGATTTGCATGTTTCCATAGAGATTAATTTAAATGAGTTGATTTTAAGCTTTCGCTTGAAGAAAGAAAGAACAGTTTTAAATAACAACAAAGACAGAATTTTATGTCAACAAGGTATTACTTATTTTGTAAAAATCATAAGTTTTACTAACGTTTATTTTATTTTAAAACTGTTCTATCACTTCTTATTTTCCACTTCCGGCCAGAATTAAATGTGTTAACTTGTTTATGCAAATTGTACTTGCTAACGCCCAAGTATTTAAGTTGTGGCGTTTTGCCAAGAGTTAGAGAGAGAGGAAAAGTGAGTCGCCTTGCCACTGCATTCTGTACGAGTTTTCAATCAGTTGCTGCTTGCCATTAAGGCCAGAGGTTTAATCCTCTTGATATTTGACAAACGTATTGTAAGTTTCAGCAGTTTTGCGTACTATATACGTAACCTTTTAAAAAAAAGGCCAAGTCTTAGTGTTAGGAATTTGTAAACTAATTCAAAGTTGAGCCTCCTTATTTAGAATTTTAGTTAGTAGTTTTATATTTCTTACGTTTCAGACCACAGAGTGATTGGTTTCTGTATCCCGAAGTGCGGGAACACCTGTAATCTTATAGAGAATAAAGAGTAAAGTAAACCCTTCCTGCTTGTGTCGTCCATAGCTTTAGTAACAACATAGCTTTAGTAAGCTTCCTGTTCCTATTCAGGACATATCATATTCCCTAAACAAGTCAAAAGACATACTAGTCCTGACAATTTAACAATTATAATTGTATTAAAAAAATCGGGGACGAATTAGATTTCCATATTATATATTAGATGAGAATTAGTTACGCAACCATACACAATGTACTTCATTTTTTGAGTTTCTTTGTTTAAACAGAATTTATAAATAAAATGAAAGAGCGAAGAACTGAGAAAATTTTCGATTCCAATAGCTTGATAAAATTAATTGTTTTAACCATCACTTTATGTGGTTTCAAATATCTGTGTATGCATTTGAAATGTGATCGTTTAAGTTCTGTGTAAGCGTGTAATTACTATGCCAATTAAAAAACTGCTTCCTAAAGAACTAAGAATTGCATTCATAATTTCAAACGATTACAAAGTTTTGCTTCAAATTGGTGAATCAAAGCGAAAATTTTTTAAGTAAAAAGAAAAATTTTTACAGTGAAATCTATTGGGACTAATACAATTCTAACATAAAACACCATACATTTATGCTTGAATTACTTAAATTCCAGCCAAATTAAAAATCCTAGGTTGAGCTTGGAGGCTTGTGACCGGCTGTTTAAGTACAGTATTTGTTCTTTCGAAACTATATACGCCTTCCAGGCACACTCTGAAAAGATCTTCGCATACCGCCTTCAGAATAATGTCCGTTGATATATAATTTACCAGAAAATGTTCTTGTTGTTTTTGACGTCCCATCTGATGTAGCTCTCATATAGAGGAAACGAAGAGATTCAATCGCCAGAAAAGCCATGGAGCTAACCATTGATCTGCTTTCATATAGACGCATTATACACATACAGCGATCACAGTATCAGTGTCGAATTGAAATGGATGTATCGAAGCAGCTCTTTCGCAGTTGTTTGTTGTATGCCTTGAAAGTGAGCCTGTCAGCAGCCACATCAAGTCATCAGATATGTTAGGCATTTAACGAGGACACCCTGAACGAATGCTCCACCAGGCATTGGGTTCCAGAAGTTTAGGTAGAGAAATCTGAGCCTTTGTAAAGAATTTCTCAGTGGACGACTGGATGACAAGGTTCTACAAGCAGCCAAAGAGGAAGATAGCAGTAAAATGTGTCATGAACTTGCCGAACGCTTCTAGGTTTCGGATGACTTCGCCTATACCGCTGAGAGAAAGCGTACAAACTTGAGAAAGTGGATACCTTACACATTATCAGCAGCCAACAAGGAACAAGAAGAGGCAGCATGTTTGTTTTTGTTGTCTCAGCACCGCAACACACCCATATTTGATCGAATGTTCACGAGGTGCATACTGTAGGACACAGGCAAGCGTACAAGACACTGGTTGTCACCATGTTATTCTGTGCTTCACACCTCCAGACTAGTCTATACCTACACAACATCATAATCTGTGTCTGGTGGCCTAGTCCTCAAATAGTGCATTACGAGCTGCTACCACCAGGCCACACCATTCAGAGGACCTGTACTCGCAACAGTGTCTAAGAAGTGGCAAAGACGGCCGAGAATACCATACAGAGACTTATCTAGGGAAAACTGTGCTCGCCGAAACTAGCGCTCCAAAATTACTTCCTGCAAATCCCTTGGGCAACCAGCTAAATGGGGAATCCTTCGGCCATGAGGTAGACTTGCGGTATTTTCTGCGTCCAAGAGTAAAGGTTTATTGCCAGGGCATTGCACAGCCGCAGAAAGGTTGGAAAAGCGTGCTGGATGCTGACGGAGACTACTTTGAGATGTAATGCTGAATACCAAACGCTGTCTATTTATCTGATTCTGAAGATCACATATTGCAAGAACTTTTTTAATTACCTTGTGCTAGTGAAACTTACGTACTTTTATAAACGGCTACATTTTAAATGCAAGCTAAATTTCCTAATCAATGAAAGAAACATAGCCATTGTTATCGACTGGTGAAAATTATATACAAGTATGCCATTAACAGACTGTTGACGTTTAGAACGATCTATAGCGGAGTCTTCCCAATTTATTGAACCTTTGCATTATATTACGATATTAAGAAATTTATTTTTCATATTAGTTTTGCAATTCCAGGAAATTTAAGATCTTTAATTCATCATCTGCCTGGCCTCGCAAACAGCCAATGTTTACAATACTGCCATTCTATTTAATAAAAATCTTTAATTTAACTTCAAAACTACAAAACAACTCTAACTCAACTATAAAAAACTTGTGTTCGTTGTTTATCATACTTAACAATATAAAAGTAATAAATACGTCTTAATAATTTACAATAAATTTTATTTCATTTTTACAAGAGGAACCTACTGTTTTTTCCCCGAACGCTATATATCTGGAACATAAGGATTTTTCTTCCGTTCGTTCTATTTTTTTTTTTTTTTAAAGAACTACCGGTATAAGGTAAGATTCTATGCACTTACTCACTTCTAAATACATCAAGAAGTATGAAATGACTATTTCTTTTTCTTCCTTCCCATTGTAAAATGATGACTATTTGGCTCACTTGAGGTACTAAGGTCTTGAGGCCTGCTCTAATGAATTAAATATAAAAGTTCGCATTTTTTTACGTGAAATTTGCGGATCTACTAATAATCAATAATAATAATTTAATGCGGCCAGCTACAAAAGAAAATAACCAATTTTAGTATTTTACCCAAGAAACAAGCCTTAATCGCCAAAAACTTTTGTTTTGTTTCTTTTTAGTCTGCTGAAAATTGCTCGAACTCGGTTTACATAGTATATTATAAAATGAGATCTAAGTAAGTAAATTTATTCTCTAATGTATTTTGGAATATACAGGGATAATAAAAAAGATTTGATATTTGCTAAACCTTCCCAGCCAGAGATTTAAATTACATGTATTTCAAAAACTGTGGTTGGGAGCTTTCCAGTTACAGTCTTGAAATTGTTTTCATGAAATTATCTATCTTATTAGGATCAATATTTACGATCATAAAACCTGTAGCTGAATTTTTTTAATATATTATATACGACAGATTTCTGCTATTAATCTCAATTAACTGAAGTAGTTATGTATGTAGTGTTGAATAATGCTAACGCTTTCGAATAAGAAAAATAAGGCTTGGATAGACAAATGTATTGAAACCGTGAGAATATCTCCATTCAATGCGATTATCAATGTACAAATATAAAACAAATATCTATATAAACTCAACCTATAAAAACACTATATAAAACTCAAGCTATATATAAAACACTATATAAAACTCAAGCTAGGTACTTATTTACTCTAAATTTTAAAATTAACATATTTTGTACATGGAACGCAAAATTAGTTTTAAGAAAATATTAAAGTAAAATATCAGTACTTAAAATTTCACAACTACCTGTTCCAAACGCTTCATATTAGGGATAAGGCATCGAATAAGTAAACAGATAAATAACAAAATATAAAGATGACATCAATTAATAAAAAGACGGACAGAAGCCACACACATACGATTGAAATCATGCAATGTTCGTACCATATAAACTGATTTCATTCACAGAAAATCTGAAGCTTACATGGATCGAAAAACACTATAGCTTTTAAGCAGGCAAACTCTGTGTCGTCTACACGAGCTTCCCGAAGTGTTGTGGTCAGTTCGTCCATGATCCGGCAACCGATCCGGCTTATTTCTTCCTCTTGAGATTGACGAGGTATCACAAAGTCGTTACCCAGCAGCAGCGTGTCTTTTAGATGCATAGAACGTCTAGCGAGACCCAGCAACAAATGTTCTCCAGCGTGGGCGCGTAGTAAAGCCACCTAAGAATGTTAACAGGCAAGAAAACCAAAATATAAAGATCAATAAGAAAACCTGATTTAATGGAAAATGGAAATGCACAAACAAACACTTCAAGAAGTATTTTTGTCTTAACATCACTAATAAGTTAACCAAAAATTTCACATTTATTATTATCTCATACATTCTATGCTTGATGATTTAATTTCATATTTCCAAACCAGTTTTTTTGTTGCGTTAATAAACGCGTTCAGGTTTCAAAACGAGTATTAAATTTTTGAGTTACTTATTGAATAGACACTATAAAAATCTCTTTAATTTTATATCTGAAATAGCTTTCACGGCTTAGAACTATCAAGCTATCATGTAGCTAAAGAAATCAAAATTTGACTCCCATTAAAAATACAGAATAATTAATAATTAATTATTAAAATATTCATATTAAGTTTCTAAATTATTTCTATTTGTTAGTACACCAAAGTCTAAAAATTTGAAAACTCAGGAAGCTCTGCTTTTGTGTTCAATACCCGCTTTAAAAAATTTAAGATGCGGTAGTAATAATTTGTTTCTGTGTACCAATGCATTTTTTTGGTACACCACGCACACTGGGACATATCCTCATTGAAAGTTTCGTACAGCATCTCTTGATTCTATATCTTCATTTATTTATTTCAAAAGTGAATAAAATAATAAATTTCTCAGCATTAAAAAGCAGACTGAAATTTGTGACAAACCTCAGTAATAGTATTTGCATTATCTTAAGAATTAATAAAATGTAGAATAAGAATTTTTTTATATAAATAAAACAAACTGATGTAATTATTCGCTGAAGTTAATGCTGAAAGCTTGAAGATAGGTAATATTTGAAAAAGAGTGAATAGCATACAAGATCACTGTAATCAAAATTTCCTGTTGTAAGAAAAATATTTACGTAGCACTTTTCATAAAAATATTGATGCAAATATAATGTAAAATGCTTTTTTACTAGATGCATTATTTGTAAAAAATGTGAATTAGGAAGGTGTCATACCTGATCGTCCAGTAATAATTCACTGAACTGTGGTATGTATTTAGCCCAATCTACAAGAATTAATAGCTGCTGTTTCATAGATTCGCAGACATCTGAGATGTTGGCCACTTTTTTTGATGAAATGTCCCCGTCTGGTATATGCGTCATCTGAAACGGTTAAAAAACGCTGAGCCCACAAAAAACGGTTAGGACCAGTATAATACAGTTTCAAGAACTTTGAGTATTTTAGAGAAAATTCGAATAACTAAATAGACATATGCAAAAACTTTATTTATGGTCTTACACTTCCGACCGCATCTGAATTCATAAAAAGTCCTCAGGAAACTAACGGAGTGGGTTAACATTTCAGACAATGCCACCTGTAGATTTACCACCAGCGCATGTCTCTGTATCTCAGCTAACGAAACGATATGGCTCTCTCTGTATAAGCATCATTCGATAAAGCCATTTTCCTTCTAAATTCGAAGACTTCTTTTATTTCTTAGGACTTGTAAAATCGCAAATATTCAAAACTCGAATTTTCAGTCTATTGTTCCTTTCCCAGATGATTTGTACTTAAATTATTTTTCCCATTCCCATTAATTCCTCTTAAAATATCTAAGTGAACTCAATTACTGAAACAAAACCCTTTCTAATTTAGGAAGGATTGTGACCAACCCAGCGTTTGGATAATATTTCTATCGACAAAAGTTCAGATGATAATTTCAAAATTTCTGGTTGGCGCCAACCACTGTAAAGCATATTTGCATTTAGAGCTCCAAAATGAAATTTATTGATTCGTCCGCTATATATATTTTTCATTTAAGTTCACGGTGCAAATAAATACATTTCAGAGTTTTATTATATAGCCGTTAAAAAAGTTTTATTTCTTTTGAAATTACGTTATAAATGAAGGTAACACAGAAATTTTGGTTTAAGATTCCACATATTCTTTGGAAATTAATTTTAAAACATTTTCAATTATTATTTTAAAAACTCTCTCAGAAGCATGAAAAGATTATCTTGAACGAGTTAACATAAATTGCTGGCCGTACAAAATGCAATACCATGGAAGAATCATTTTACAGGTTTGAAATCTGTATTATGCTTAGACCTGGATAAAACGCGCAAATGTTTAGCATGGCAAAATGTTTAGCATGCAAATCATGTGCGTCAGTAATGCCAGCTAGAAGCACTAAAAAGGCAGAAAAATAGACTGTTTAAGCACTGAAATATGTGCTTAAATTAAATTTTTGTTTAAGCACTGAAATATGTGTGGGAAGTTTCATCATGCTTCGTGCAATAGAAATGACAGCATATAACCAATATAATGACAGCCGCAATAGAAATGAGTAAGCCTCTGAGACACAGGAAGAACTAGTGCATATGCACTAATTATCCTTTTGAGAAGTCAACACTCTTGTTGAAGGAAATCAGGTCACAGTAATGCGAATACGAAATAGATAGATAGATAGATAGATGTAGGACGAAGAGTCCGATCGATGGGAACGATTGCACCAGCTTCGTCACACTGACGAACGAAAAGACAGGATAGCAAAGATGGCGGACTGACGAACACTGACGAACTTCGTCACACTGACAAACGAAAAGACAGGATGTTTTACGGATGGCAATGTTGGATCACACAAAAACATCATTAATCCAAGCACCATAATTAGGATCTGTTGCACAACAACCCGTATAAACATGTAACATTCGATGTTGTCTGCGGAAGAATCCTAATAAGGTTTCCGTTGCTGGAGATGTGTACATTGAGATGTTCTCTACCAAATTTAGAGCGGAGCTTCATAGTTAACGAATAGCACAACATTGTCTACAAAATGATGATCGTATCCGAGTCAGGCAGTACCTCACTGACAAACATCACGAACCTTGCACTATGCATCACTATATCGGCCCGTTACCTGGAATTACAGTTTGCGCACCGCCAATGGATTTTACCCAAGCGTCCGCCTTTATAACACACTTAACAGCCACTGTTATATTTCTGGAATTCTGAGACCTGTTATTCCTTGCTTTCAAAACTGATTTATTTACTTGTCCAATATAATTTATAATTTGATCATTCATCTAGAATAGTTGTTCTCCACCTTTTTTGCCCCATGCATCCTTTCACCATCACTAAACTATCATTACCAGTCCTCCTTTCCAAAGCTCGATAAATGCATTTACATTTATTTAAATTTAGATTATTTTTGAATGTTTTATAAATGAAACAAGAAAAACTATACATAATGATGATAGATACCAAAACTTGAATAAAAGTATTTTTTATATTCATAAACTAAAACTAAACACTTCAAAGATAAATAAAAGGCTCACCAAATTCCCTCTGAAACTACGAAATCCCCCCCAGAAGGAATTTCGCCCTGGTCGCGAAACTCTGATCTAGCATTTGCTATCGAACTAGCCTTTGTAGCATGCAAGATTTGGACAAGCTGTTTTACTATAGATAATTGAGTAATTCAGCATTAAAATTAATAAATAATAATAAAAAAACTAGATTTTAATAAAAAAAACAATTCTGCCCCTTTTCTTGGCTCTATTACTGGGAATTTAATAACCAGCACGCTAAGAATAAGATGCAAATAAAATATTCAGTAGTATCTAAAGCTGAATTATTAATCAAATTTTAATCTTCATAATATTTTCTGCCTACAAGTAGTTTATACTCCATAAGGTATAACTATAAATAAAAACTAAAAAACTTTTTATACTGCTATTTTATTAGCAAAATAGTGATTTGGGAGGGGGAATATTATGAACAATGTAAGAATAATGCATTTTCATCGCATGTATTGCACCTTTAAAAAATGAAACTACCTGTCTTGAAAATATTTCAGCATTGAGCAGAGCAGTTAAAGTTATTCCGGAGTTATTTGTTGCTTCATCATAACTTGGCCGCCTGCAGCTGATTCTGTCTCTTTCGTTTTGCACAGCTGGAAAAAATACACGTTTCTTTAATTTTCGTATCATAAATAGCGCTTAACAACATTCATACTTTAAACTTTACATAATAAGCTTCAAGATAGATTTACAGACTATGTGGAAATGTGCATACATATGTGAATTCTATATGTTGGCTACAAAAGATGAAAACTATTAATAATTGTAATTAGATCAGCAATACATAGATGAATCAATTGAGAAAATACCGAAACTGATCTGGCAACACTAAATTTACGCAAGTAATCTGGCAGCACAGTGACACTTAAAAGAATTCGATAATGAAAGGTTAGGCTTAGAACATTTCGGAGTTTTAACCAAAAAAATGAGACTTTATAAGAACTATATTTCTAAAGATGTATGTAACGTTTATGCATTATATAAAAATGATGTATTTGCTTTTAAATAATGTAAATACTTTGTCATTAAAATTCTCTTTACTGCTTTTTCTCTAATGTGAAGTTTCCTATATTTCTTTTCAGAATCACTCTGGACTATAATTCAAATTCTGAATCTAGTAAAACTCATAACTCTCGGAAGTCAACGACAGCCAGGAATACAGGTAAGCAACATGTTTCTTTGCATGTTGCAAGAGATATTAAGTCAAAGGAAATCCTGTTAATGTATGTGAAAATTTCATAAATAAAATTTTGACACGATGCCTTCCTTACATGTAAACCATGTATTATAATACCGTAGCTCACATTTGTTTCCGAGCACTTGGGTTTCTCAGTTCTTTTTCTCCTTTTTTTGCGAATATCAGTTACAAAATATTAGCGAAATGACTTTTTCCACACTTATTTTGGCACATTATTTTCATCGTCTTTTTTTAAAATCTGCTTGCTTTGAAAATGAACTCACATAAGTATTCGGATATTTTGAAACAACAATTTATATTTATTCGAATATTTTTACCATCTTTACAATGAATAATTAATTTTATAACATAATTTGTAGTGTTTTGTCATGTTCACTTCAAATATAGAACTTTTACTATATTCTGATAAATAAGTAAGAATTTCCAAATGTAAACGATAATTCTTGAGTTGCATTTTCATTTAAAACAAAAAAAAAAAAAAAAAAAATTATGACAAGAAACATCGTCCGCAAAACAGTTCAATCAAACTTTCACGCGTTCGAATTATTGTGTGAGTTACTGATTAATACTTTTTGAATAAATTATTTTATTAAAAAAAATCTAAAAGCTTTCAGATTTTATATTATGCTCAAAGGAGCTTTTTTCCATTTACACACACATACACGTTTCGAGAACATTTGGGCTAATGCCCCTTTGGGCTAAAAATATTAAAAACAGCATATTCTTAGAATTTCTGATAGACAGTCTCGCGCGTTAGAAATAAAATTATTTTATTCCGTACAGTGTTCCCACTGCTCGCTTTGAAATCGTTGACTTTTTTAATCAATTAATTTGTTAAAGTTTTACAGACTATTAAATAGATAATAAAACAAATTCAAAATTCGGGCTTCGGGAAAAAACAACGGTAGTTTGCTTCATAATGCGAGAAATACAATATATACATTCATGCAGATTCTTATTTTTTTTTAATTTCTTTAAATATAATACAAGGCGATAATATTCAGTGACAACAATTTGAAAAGCGATTCAACGCTTTTAGTGATTCGACGCAAAATGCCTTTTTCGAGACTAATAGCCCTTCTGGGTTAAGGCCCCTTTGGGCAAATAAGGAAAATTTTGATAATAATTATTTTGAAATATGATAAAATATATTAGAAAAAAAATCTGGTTTCTATGTGTCAATGTTTAACACAAGATTTATGCAAATATATTTCAAAAATAGAGTTTTTCGAAAACAAATGCGAGCCGCTGTATAATCACAGGCCTCTTATCCCATGTGAAAAGTTTTTCTAAAACTTCTGTAGATTCATTTAACTCTTCTTACAATTCATTAGGATCAATATAATTAATTCCACTGCGACGTTTTAACAGATTTTTTCATTTGTATTTAAAGAATACAAAAAACGGCTACTGCATTTCAGATGAAAAAATCTCGAATTTTTACATAACCGAAAACCTGTTACTATTTTTTTTTCAAACCACAGTATTTAAAATATGAAATTAATTGCTCATTTTTTAGCTTTAGTTTTCATTTAAATGCCTTAAAAGGGTGGGGATTTTCTATACTGAAATACGTAATATATGGCGTTAAAACCTCTTTTATTAATTACAATGATGCTAAATACATTCATTAAGAATTATCAAATGGATACATTACCAGTCAAATTTATTTTAAATTACATCAACTGCATGCATCAAAAAAATCAAATTACATTATAAACACTGAAGTTTTTTAAAAATGTGCTTATTCCTTTTAAATCGCTGTTTGTTATACAATTAACAGACTCACTAAATTCGAAAAAATAAATTAAACATGATATGATCTCCTGAATCTCAATATTCTGAAAACTGGCTGTTAGCAAGATACATGGAAGGACTGGATTGGATTATTTAAATTATGGCAAAGTGAACGAGAGCTCTCAGTTTATTTAATGTCAGGAATGCCATCGTAAAGAACATTTTAAGGGAAACTGAGCTCGTAATCACGTTACACATGGTAAAAACACGGAAGCTCCCGTGCAGCTAGCCCGTTCTCCGGGATTTTAATTTGGATCGACCAGCAGTTTACCGCGGTGGCTGCTTAGTAGGCCAAGGCACATGAAAGCTACTGCGTTTCGCTCAATGGTAACTCCTGCCAAGGCTTAGTTTATGACGGGAGTATAAAAGACAGCTTAAAAGCTTCGTTTGAAATGCATACTTAAACAGCTTAAAAGTTTTGTTTGAAAAACCTCTTTCATTTGCTAATTATTTCGTTGGACATTAAAATAATACCGCCAACAAGGATAAAATGTAAATTAAGCTCATTGTATGGATTATTATATTATACAAAGATGAATCATTAAAATTTTCGAGTGTTCTAGACAAACAGAATGTGGTGGTATGATCAATACCAAATGGGGCACCATTATCAAAGATAACTAAAGTTATATGGCGAGGCATAAAGTCACAGAGATTTTGGTTGACATTTTCGGATAATGACAGCTATAATTTGTTACCAGATGTCATAAACTGTATTCTTATCGTGCTGCCGAGATACTACGGGATAGTATTGACTGATTAACAATCCTTCTGCCGTACCGAAGGGCCCGAGTTCGAATCCCGGAGAAGACCTGAATGTCGGTAAGCGCACAGTGTCTGTGCTCAAGGCAGCTCTAAAATACATGGCGATCCGAAATCATCTCAAAAGGCTGATAGTGAGAAAAGAGGGGTGGGAGACCCTCAGATTGACCCCGGAATGTTTTCCCACGGAAATTCCTCCGAGGTGGAAGCTTAGTAATTAACATGCCCGGCGATATCTAATATGCCTAAATGGATGCACAGGTGTCGGGTTTACTTAATCTTATCTGTGTCTTTATTGGGCCAATGTGTGTAATACCATAGACCAGTAATATTCAACCCGGAAAAGATGTAGTGAACGCACCGGTCAAGGCAAAATTATAAAACTGTTGTGTATCGAGGAAGACGCCCAGCCGGTGTAGTGATGCAGGCTGCCACATCAACGGCCTGGGTTCGAATCTCATAGAACGCATGCATGTCTGTAAGGGTATAGTGTCTGTGCGGCAAGGGGGCACTCAAATTACGCAGCTAGCCAAAAGTCCTCTCGAGAGGTTGGTGGTAGGGGAAGAGGAGTGTGAAATTCTTGATCCGCCCCCCTGGTGGTTTTATCCCTCAAATCTGGGGCGGAAGCTTAACAGTCAGCTACAATAGCTCATACCTCAATCAGCTGTGGGACTACAATAGTGTGGCTTCTATCTGTGCCATCGTGAACACTTCGGATATTGAATGCAACGTGATCACAAACTGTGCTACTAGTAAGTTGCTGTAGGGTACTCTTAAAAATTTGGGACAACCACAGCCTCATTACGTCTGTAATATAAAACTGAACTAGTTAGACTGCCAAATACGTATACCAAACACAAACAGAATTCGTATCCAATCGCATCCCATTGAGCCTGTATGATGCTGCATAAAACAAGATGTTAAAAGAAAAAAAATAAACCATCCTTACGGTAGGGACATATATGTATAATCTATAATGATGTTGCATGCAGAAGCGAAATTTACCTATGAAGAAAGATATCACTTCTATGCGTCAATGTCAATCATCAATACACTAACCTAGCTACAAAGGCTCTCCTGTACAGCTGAAATTAGGCTGCCGTTCAGAAAGTCCGCAAACCTCAGGACGATGCTTCACAGTAAATGCAGACACATTTTTTCTGTGCCACATACCGTTATTACCTGTTCTACAGTGCCTGATGTGGCTAAACGGACCATTTACATAAAATGTGTCTTCTAATGTACTGGAGAGTTAAGATCGTTGTGAGCCTACATGTCGCCCATTCCATCCTTCCTAAACCCATCGATTCCATATTTGCATGACACCGGTCAGATTTCGACCAACACAAGCAGCCAATTTAGCGCTATGAGAATCCGCAGTTACGAAACAATATCATCCTTCCACGATCAAATTCGGACACATGCTTCTATACGTTTCATAGTCTATGATCTTACTTGAAACATACTTTCCACTGCTGGTTAAGGGTGCAAAATCCCTTTTATGTGGAAAATCCATATGAATCTTCTCTTCTCCTTCGTAATGATTCTAGGTGGCACTATAGACACCTGTTATTTGCATATTTGTTATTTTGCATATAATAATTTCATATTCTGTCCCTCCCTATCTATTATACAAATTTTAAAACGATTGGCTATTGGTGTTGCAATTTTAATCGTCAACAATGAATTGAATAAACATTGCTCCAAAATGGCTAGAAGAAGAAATTAGAGGGGAGGGGGAAATAACAGATATACAATAGAATGGAAAGCAGGTACGACAAATTATTTAGGTTTTCAGGACATGGCTTTGAGGCAGAAAATGATAACGACTGCAAAGATAATATTTGTGACATTACTTGATAATGAAATAGTTTTGATAAAAAAACGACGATACAATTAAAAATATCATATCAGGTTTAAAATGAAGGTATTATAAAGATGTAGGAAGGAAACAGCTAACAAATATTGTGATTCTTATTCATCTCAATCAAGCTTCTTCCCACAGAAAAGTTTCCAAAGATATTAAAATATTAAATCTCTAATTTATGTATTGTATTTATAATTGTTAAAATTAAATTTTTTTTTTGCATGCATAAAAACTGAATATAATTATTATATTTAATAATTAATTCAATAAAATAAGTTTTCCTAGTAGAAAACATATGCCTGTGATGAATAAGGCTCAAAAGATATTTGAAGTTATTGAAGTTAAGTATCTGATGTAAGTATTAACTTACTTCAAATATTTAACTTCAAGTACTTGAAAATGATAAAATTCCATCAATTATTAAATTAACAACCCTGTAATTAACAACCCCTGACCTTGAAATTCTAACTGGCAGTCTAACAGAGCTCTCCGGCTTGTCCTGTAGGGTTGGTTTCAGATACAAAATTATCTATCCAAGTAGATTCAAGAACATGATTATAGTAATTGAAAAACAGGACTAAATAATGAACAGTGCTTGGCTCACTACATTCATTCACTATATATTTAGTAAATATATGTATGAAACGAGCGCGCATGTTTATGTTCTGGGTTGCGATTGATTTGGAAAGATAGTAATTCCGTCTTCATGAGTAGTTTTGTTCCCACATGACGCAAAATATATAACCCCCCCCAAAAAAATATGCAATAAATTAATAATTAACTTAATGAATTACTAAATATTTCAGTTTGCATACAGTTATTTTAAGTTTATTACACTTCTTATTTGGCTTTTTTCTTTGTTGTTGTTGAAAATACTTATGTGACGAATGTAACAATTAAAAGTTGTTGAAAATTGTCACATTACTTTTATTTTTGATGTATCAACTATTAGAGCATAAAATTTATGAAGCAATCATTTCCATGATAAGCCATGAAAATCGCTTGTCATGAAACCTCTTATGAATTATCGGAATTTTAGGAGTACTTTAACGCATTTTTTTATCTATGTGTTGAAGTAAAAAGTACTTTGATTAAACCTTTTTATCAGAAATGTATAGGTAATAACTTTTAGATAATGCGTTACATAATATCTTGTTGAATCCATAAGCACGCTGTGCTTTAGAATAACAATTCTTACGTTAGGTATATTAGTTTTCATACAAAATGTTTTAAGCGTAGTCAGTATTTATACATTTATGATTTTTGGGTATAATATTAATATGGAAGGGAACAATGTTTCTGAAGGAGGCTTCATATTCCATTATGCTGTTTTGAGTTTAACACAATTTTTTTATGATTTTCTTTACTTATAATTCTTGCATTTCTTCAATTTCTTGCATCACTTCCTTATATTTTATTACCTGCTTATAAAAGTCATTAATTTCAACGAATAAATTATGATCAATGGATGAAACAAAACAGTTAACAAGCACTGCTTAAATGTTTTTTCTGTATGACTGCAATTGTTAAAGAAATAATTCTGCACCTAGCAGCTCATTATTTACAATCCAAAATATAACAGTGAAATATAATAATGCTTATAATTTAATACGATAATTTCGTTCCCGGAAGAAAGCTGCGCCATACCTCTAGATCAGCTCGTTCAAAGTACACCTTTCGAATCTCATAACTGTAACTAACTAATACTAACTCTAAGGTTAAAAGGGTGCGTAAATATAAATGCATAAATGTATATAAACGTAAATACCTTACGGCCATTTCAAATACATAGCTGATTTGCGGAATATAATATGAATAATGACGAAATAAGAACAAGCATTAATAATATTCTAATAACAAACAACATTTATTTCAAAATAAAATGCTTAAAGGTGCTGTTAAAAATTACTTAATTTTGACAGGGAGCGGCGAAGTAGCATTTGTCTAGAGTCCAGAGGCAGCTTTTTATCTTTACAATGTCCACGCCTGGAGATAATTTTCGTTAAACGAAACTGCAGTGAAGAGCCATTGACTGGCAAGAAGCGGGCCAAAGTAAATCAGACGCGAGCCGATTGTTGAAAATGAATCCAGTATATGGCTATGAGATCAAACTCTAAGCGTGGAGTCTGAGTACTGAAGATTAAATTCGATTAATTAACTGTACAAAATCAGTTTATAAGGTATTTCTCATACTTCCCTAGCGTGCCTTTGTGGTGTAGTGGTTCTGCACGCTGGCCGGTATCCAGAGGTCTGTGGTTCGATTCCCGGCGAAGGCGGTTGCATATTTTTCATCTTTAATCCTTCCAATTAACCTAATGACTCTACAAGTGGCGCCCGAACTAAAAGGGTTGTGGACGATGATTCTCCGCACCCAGATTTGGCGACTAGGTCCCTAAAACCCTAGTCGCCCTTTAAAAGGGAGTATATAAGGTATTTCTCCCACTTCCCTAGCGTGCCTTCGTGGTGTAACGGTAGCACGCTCGGCCGGTATTCCAGCGGTCCGTGGTTCGATTCCCGGCAAAGGCGGTTGCATATTTTTCATCTTTTCTGCTTCCAGTTAACCTAATGACTCTACAAGTTAATTAATCGAAGAAATAGAAACATCGACTCTGTTATTGCTAATGGAAACAGATTCCACTGATAAATTTCTTGAATGAAATTTTTAAATTCGATATCAATAATTTATGCATTCCTCACTTAACATCACAGCAGAGCAGCGGGCCCATAAACATGTCCGTCCCAGTTAAAATAAATATAAATTAAGGTCGTACTCTTCAAGAATTCGCTTGACTATTGTTTGCAGAATTATTCCATGTGTTATTTGACATGGAGAAAACAGGGTATCCATCACGCCTTAACCATCAATTGTTTAGTAAAAAGATGTGAAGTGAGTTTTGTTGATATTTTTTTGTACCTGAAAGCTCATGTATCTCTACATGATGAGAAAGAATTTAAAATTAAAGAATTTAAGATCTTTTATGTAAGTGCGCTTAGGAATATAATAATAATCAAAAAGTTATGTTACAAGACGATGACTTGTAATGCCTTGACTTAATGCCAGACCGAGCTTGAATAAAGAGCTAATGAGAAGAGAAGTGTTAACGCTCTAACGACAGAAGGAAAAAATCATTTTTATTCTTTTCTAATTAACATCATCATAAATGGAATAGAATATCATTAATCGTCTTACATTGCGATACCCAACTGCATTCTGATATTTGTTACGTTTTGAACAAGTTTATCTATGTGCTAAGTTTTGATAAAATAAATGTTTGGCGTATTCATTCTAAAATACACTACTAATTCATGCTTTTACTAAATTTCATGAAAATCTTTCCAGCAGCTAAAATTAAAAGTCAATAATTAAAAGCAAATCAAGTTATTCGAATTCACAATTTCACACATCCGCTACAGTTTGTGATAAATACCAGGAAATATCGCTGCTGCTGTATCAAGTTGTGCATTTAAATTCATATGTAAAGATTCTGTATCGTGCTTCTGCTTACTGCTTCACCTGCAACTTAACGATTAGTTCAGATTTGCTTATTAACTAAAACAATTAAGCATTTAAAAATTCTATGTACAACTGTTAAGTATTATTCTATGATTTGACTTTTTTTAATGCATTTGAAGTGTTTCATGTGTCTGGTCTGAAGCAAAAATTTATTTGAAGGCGCTATTGGTAAGAATCTAATAGAATTTCATTCCCAAATCATCATTGAAGGAATCTAGCTACTAGCCACGCTCAGAAATCTTTACAAATTTGGAAATCTTGAACTTCAATAATATAACCGATTCAGTGTTTCGTCATTCTTTCCTTGTGACAGTGCTTGACTTTAAAGTTTTGAGAATTATATTTCATTTTAACACGCGTTTTTTTTAGGGGGCTTAATACATTTCGGAAAAAAAGTGACTTAAACAACATAAAATCGTAGTGTTTGAGCTGATTTAATTTAATGCATTGGCTAATTTCAACAACAGGATAGCTTTACCTTCTTTTTTCATGCCAGCCCTGAAGCACTTTTTGAGCCTGCAATAACGACACTGATTCCTTTTATCTTTGTCCATAACGCAGCTTCGCGCGAACCGGCACGCGTAAACGTGGTTCTTCCTCACGCTTCTTCGGAAGAAACCCTTGCAACCGTCACAGCTGGATGCTCCGTAATGCTTCCCAGTGGCACGGTCCCCGCAGATGGCACATAGCTGATTGACGGCATTATTCGTGCCATTTGTAGTTGGGGCAACCCGGTTCAGTTGCGAATTGGCCACTTGCTGAAGACTGAGCTTGGGTTCGGCTAGAAAGAGATGAAAAAAGTATTATTTATTCGAAAATAAAGTTAATGACTTCATTCAAAATCATTACGATATGCAAATTCATAAACATGTATTAAAAATCATATTTTTCTCTATGCTGCAATAAACTATTTCTGCACTTAGATTTTTCAGGTTGAGCTCTTTTTTAGCTTATCAAGCAACTGGCAGCTATTTGCAGTTTTTCGTAGCTGTAAATTCATTTATCGTTATTTATTAACATTTCTTTATCAATATTTGTTTTCGTACTTTATTTTTCATTTTTATTAGCCCCTAGAAGAGGGATGCATAATGTTTAACCTTATAGTGTCATTGTTAATTATTCATGTTTAAATTCAATAAATTACAAGCTATATATTAAGAAACATGGTTAGTAATAGCTGATTTATGTCTTGCCGCCCCCTCCCGAAGAGACAGTGCATAACTGATAATTTTTATTATCTATCGTGCTTTTTATCTCTATTTACCGTTTCACTCTTGCATATTGCATTTCACTGTTTTCCACCATTTGCTTCATATTCTGATGGTACTTTTCCTGTTGGCTGCAGCCAATAACAATAAAATCTGACGATGGTTAACATATTCACATTCTTACAGATCTTTTACATATACATAAGATGACTTGGAGAAAACTGTAACGGATTGGTTAGTTCTCTGCGTTATAACTTGGAACAGTTTTACAGCGTAATTAGAAAAGATGATACTCGAAGACAGACGTAGCCGTAGTACACTCATGTCCATAAATTAAGGATAATGCAAAATAGGCAAAGGAAGAGTTAGAAGCAAAACAAATTTGACTTATTTGTAAAGCTTATTTATTAAACAAAAGGTAAAGAGCAAAAAAGATGCTATATGTTTGACATTATTAAAAAACTAGCGATTTTTTCTCCCTGGAGCAAATTACACACACACACACACACACACACACACACACACACACACACAAAAAAAAAAAAAAAAAAAAAACTATTTACAAAAAACCAATATTACATGGTTGGTATGATTGTTAATACATTGTATGTCTCCCAGACGATGCAATACAGTCCGTACAATGCCTAGGCATGCTGAGTATCAAATTATCGATCTGATCTTGGGGGATATTACACCTCTCAAAACGCAATGCTATCCGAAGTTCCGGTAGACATGTAGGAGGAGGTTGACGGGCTGCAACTCGTCGGCCAAGCATGTCCCACACGTGCTCTACTGGATTCAAGTCCGGTGAGAATGCTGGCCAGTCCATACGCTGATATCCTCCGATTGAAGGGATTCGCTTACGATGTTTACACGGGGAGGACGGCGTTGTCATCTATAAACACAAATTGTGCGCCCATGGCACCCCGAAATAAACGTACATATTGTTCCAGAATGACGTCCCGATAGATTTGGCTTATCATGGTTCCAATGTGAACATGCAGGTCAGTTCTGGAACCCAGAATAATTCCACCCCAAACGAGCACTCCTGCACCACCGTAACGGTGTCTTTCAATGATGTTTTCTTGGTGGTAGCGTGTACCTGGAGCTCTCCATATGAAAGTCCGACGAGAATCAGACTGCAAGCTATACCTGGACTCGTTTGAAAACATCACACACGCCCACTGTTGCGATGTCCACAATGCATGCTCTCTACTCCAGGCTAACCGCAGGCGACAGTGAGTTGCAAGTGGAACGCATCTGACAGGTCTACGAGCATATAGACCAATCTGCCCTAAGCGTCTGTACACGGTCTGCCTTGAAATTGTCGTACCAGTGGCTGAAGAGAGCTGACGAGACAGGACTGAGGCTGTGTTCCGCCTGTTTCTTTTGGCAGTAACTGCCAAATACCGGTCCTCATTCGGCGTTGTAACTCTGGGGCGACCTGTGCTGTAACGTCTACTCACATTACCATCATCTTGGAATCGTTCCCAAAGCCTGGAGATGACACTCTGGGCAATTCCAAGTTCGTCTGATACTTCCAGTTGGGTATGCCCACATTCCAGACGGCCGATAATTCTACCACGTAAAAAATCATCCAACTGCGTCCTGTGTGTCATAACTATTCGGTTATTGCACTGAAATGCTTATAAAGCGCCTGCGAACAATTTTACTTCTTTGCCTGTATTCCTTATATATCACTCTCTTACACTCTCGTGAGGTACCATCGGTGTCATCTAGTTACTTCCTGATATTTGCATATGATTCTTGGAGATGTGTGTAGTGATCTTACAGGTGATATATTTATTTTAGAGTTCGATTTCCGCGTGACTCCGAATTATCCTTAATTTATGGACATGAGTGTAATTTTATTCCTTGATAATTAATTCTTAAGACACATATCCTTTTTCGTTGCCCATCGTCATTGTTGGTGCGCTATACATCCCACAATTTTATGCAAATTATATTTTTAGAACCATGGACAATAGCTATCAGAGGTTAAGGGACACGTCAAAGCGAGCGAAGTAGTGTCTTGAGTGCAAGATAACTAAAGCTAAAGCAAGTAATTATCCAATATGGAAGCTCACCAATAGAAAGGTCTTAAGTTTAGGTTTGTAGGGATTTATATTTATTTTGAATAACCAGTTAAATTTAAGTTTACACTTTCCTATAACCCTTCAAATGCCAGAATATTTAAATTTGGTAGCGCGCGTGAAGGAATGCAAATTCTACCTTGAGGTGAAAAGGTTTAAATACCGAGTTCTAGGAGGAAAAGTTAGAGAGCTTGGGCAAGCGCTGTACTTCTGCAGAGTAAGATTCTAGTTCTGCATTTATTGCTCAAAATATTGAGTTTAGGTTCCGAATTAGCTATATCAACAGCATTACGCAAGCCATAGAAGATGGACTAGTGTAGAAATAACGCAGTTCAGAAAAGTTATCACGATGTTTAGAACAGAGAGGGTAAGTTAATTGCTAATTTTAATTATAAATTTGATTTACATATTTTTTATCTTAAACACACACACATATATTAGATATATGTATATTATATATGTGATGAAATAATGTAGTTCGTTGCAGATGATTTGAAATTAGACGACAGCTTGATTAGGAAAGGTACCGATTCACCTTTTAGTCACGGCAAGAAAACTGCTTCGTAGTTGGCTGGAAATTGTGGTTTAGTAGATGACCGGTTGGAATTTTGGAAGAAGCACGACCAGCTTGGTAGTTAAGGTACTTACTTTTCGATGACAAATTTCTTATCGCATTACCTTTTTAATTTGCAGAATACTAGGGATGCTAAGAAAAGTTTCCGTTATTAAGCTGCCATCCTCGCTAAGAAGCTGCTTCGCTGCTCTTTTCCTATCGTAACAGTAGACACGATCAGACTACCAAGTGAATTGTGGCCGCAAATGTCAATTGAAATAAAGGAAGGATATTTAATCAGCTTTCGACTGCCACGTTTGCTGTTCATTTCGCATTTAACGATCTGTGTTATCAATGCTTCTTTTCGTACATCTACTAAGTTGACTGCTTTTATATTAGCTTTATACGAATAGAGTATATATATATATATATATATACATGTATGTGTGTGTTAGTATAGTGATCATACATTACTAAAAATAATAAGTGCTTAAACGTTTTATCTGTCAAGTGTGTAATATTATAAAACAAAGTTTGTTAACTCTCGCCTCGTCGTATCTCGAAGATACTCAGAAGTGATGCTCATATCCAGTTATATTATTCAGATTCTTGTAACGTCAAAGCCTGGAGTTAAAAAGAAGCCTGGAGTTAGAAAAATATCCATTAAAAAATGGATATTTTTCTATCCCTCCTTTTTCATCAACCAATCTCAGTAATTTTTATGGGTTTGTCAAAAACAATTTTCAGCTAATGAAAACGTACAGTTAAAACATGAAAAGAAGTTAGTTGAATTGGAAGAAGTCGCCTGCTACGAACATAGTATATTTTATAACTCATAACAAATGTATGAAAGATTCCTGTTTATACAGTAATATAAGAAACAGAAACAACTGCTAGAAGGCAAAAAAAAAACTTCAAATATGAAAACAATTATGTTTTATTGAGAAATGAAAATTTGCAGAATAATGAAATGGATAACAATTAACCTGATTTCAGACGGATTCGAGTTAAATGGTTAACTCATTAAAAAATAAGTATTTAAATATTTTTATTTCGAATCGGGATGGGAAGGCACACATGATACTGGCTTAAAAACAATTCGTATGCTGAAATAGTGTTGGTACTAATAGTAATGAATGATGGCAAAATTTTAGAAGTTTTAAATGGTATACGTTTTGCAAATCAACATGCACATCTTCTCACAGCTCTCGAGAGAATGTGTGTACAAATACCCGGCTGAAAACTTCTGTTATTATGAAACGTTTTGAGAAACATCAGGTATGAAGTTTTTCTCATTCTGCATACAAGTAGTTCTTTGGGGGAAGATAACTAATAGAATTATTGGAATTTAATATATTAACTTCTGCAGTGCTTAATAATTTAATTATGGCGAAATGAATGTCTACCTGAAACGATTCTCAGTAAAACCCAATAGAAATTTTGAAATTTTATATACAAGTTTATGTGATAAATGCACTTATGTTTCAAATGTCTAACATTGCAGTTTTCTTTTGTCGTTGCGAAAACTGGATAGACGTTTATTCGCCAAACAAATTCTTTTACACAAGGTAATTCTTTGCTTCATTTGCATAAGCAAAAATCACAAGCATCTGTTAAGAACTGAAAACACATGTTTTTGACCAGAGCGACACTTACAGAAGAACACAGTTCTTCATTTTGCCTATCGAATAATGCCAAAGATATTACTTTACAGAGCACTAATACTGAGCACCTGAAAATGTTTTCCAAGTTTTCTGTTACACTGAAAAACAAATTTGTTGGCTCTAAACTTATAACATACCCTCCGTTATTCTATAATTTATTACCATTTATTGATTGATGTATTCACACTTAAGATTCTTCTCATCTGCTATCAAGAAAGTTTTGCAGTTCACCACGACGATTTCTAAAGATTACTTTTTCTTTA